CCCTCCCCCTGTCTCTCTGAGATAGGGTCTTTCTCTGTACTCCAAGCTGGCCTCAAACTGATGGCAATGCTTCTTAGAAGTACTGGGATTATAGGCATGTGCCATCATGCCTGGTTTCTGTTTCTAGGTTTGAGTATTTTATCTGAGCTTGGTATAATCCCAAAATACACATACACCTGTAATCCCAGCACTAGAGAGGTAAGGGCAGGAGGATCAGGAGTTTTAAGACCAGCCTCAGCTACATCGCAAGTTTGAGGCCAGCCTGGACTACAGGAAGGCCTGTCTTTTAAAAAAAATGAAAAAGGGGCTGTAGAGATGGCTCAGCAGTTAGCAGCACTGGCTGCTCTTGCAGAGGACCTGGGTTCGATTCCAGCACCCACATGGCAGCTAACAACCATCCATAACTCAGGGATCTGACACCCTCTTCTGATATCCATGAGCACTGTACCACAAAAGTGCACCTACCTACATGCAAGCAATATACTCAGTCACATAAAAAAAAAACAAATAAAATATAAAAAAAATAGATTTAGTCTAGAGATTGCTCATACTTGTTTCTTTATTTGAGGTTTTTGAGACAGGATATTGCTACATAGCCCAGGCTGGACTTGAACGAACCACAATCCTACTGCTTCAGCCTTCCCGGTGCTGGAATTATCGGCATGCACCACTATGCCAAGCCATATTTTTTAATGAACATTAATTTGTAGATTTTCTTTTCAGCTATCAAAATACCACATTTTAGAGGTTGAATTTCTTTATATTTATTATTTTTATTTTATGTGTATGCATGTATTGCCTGCGTGTAGGTAAGTGCATCCGTGTTGTGCAATATCCACAGAGGACAGAAGCGGCTGTCAGATCCCCTGGGACTGGAGTTATGGACAGCTGTTGGCTGCCATGTGGGTGCTGGGTTCGAACCCAGGTCTTCTGCAAGAACAACCAGTGTTCTTAACTGCTGAGCCATCTCTCCAGCCCCTAGAAGTTGAATTTCAATGAACATTTTATTTATATGCCTTATCTTCATTTTGTTGTTACTATTGATGATTTGAAACAGGATCTTGTGTGTTGCCCAGACTAACTTGAAACTTCTGGGCTCAAGCAGTCTTCCTGACTCAGTCTTCCCAGTAGTTGGGACTATAGGCATGTATGCCACACCTAGCTTGCTACCATATCTTTAATTCCATTATCAGTTTGAATTTGGGGGGGGGGGTACATTGGTAGCATGTTTGATTGTGTTTATGAGTACACAGAATGGTTACACCATTTGGAAGAATTTAAATGATGCTGTCTAAGTAGGTCTAGAAAATAGTGGGTTGATTCCCTTTCTACTTTTGATGTTTTCTTTGATAAAGCAAGGATGGTATTTTTTTTCTAAACAGGTCAGGAATATCATGCTATAGTGGAATTTGCACCGTTTCAAAAAGCTGCAAAAAAGAAGATTAAGAAAAGAGATACCAAAGTTGGGACTATCGAAGATGGTACAGTATAGCTCTAGTTGTGTAATATTGTCTTTTTTGTTTTTGAATCATGTCTTGTGAGAGTCAGACACGAGTATTTTAAAAGAGAAAACATACAGCATAAAAGGAATATGAAATATCATTATAATGGATGCTTTGACAAACTGTTAAAATAGAGGTGGGAAACTCTGTCCTGCAGTGTTTCTGTTATCTGTGACTGCTGGTAATTGATTCCTCTACCACTGAGCAATGTAGTATTGACCACTGAACAGTCAGTCATCCTGGGTCTGCTGATTAGAAAATGGTAAGAAAAATCAGCTGTTCTAAACTGTAATAACTGCTCCTTGAGGTCTACCATTGCTTTGATTCAGCTTTTCATTTTTGTTACCTTTCCAAAAGAAGATTTGAGCTGTGATAGAAAAATGTTCATATCCAACTAACTTCCTATAAAGTATCTGAAGGGGTCAGTCCAATTTCCTAGACTTTGAATATATCATTAACTATACGTGAAGCTATTAGGCTAAACAGAAATATAAGAACTGAAAAATTGGAATAATTTCCAGTTAAGGCAAACCTAACTCCAGATTTTGAGATTATGTTGGATAATTATTGTATGGTTTTTTTTTTTGTATTGGATAAAGACTTAGCCCAAGTCTCTTATGTGAGACTGATATTTTAGAATCACCTAGTTGAATTTCTGTCATTTGTTGCTATAACAGGTACTCTATAAAATGGTAAAAATTCAACACAGATGCTTATTGATGATATCAAAGATTGAAATATGGATGTGCAAGCAATACAATGACCCAGGTGTATTTCCCTTTTTTAGGGCAGAGGTATCTAGGAAAGAACTCCAGGAATCACCATCTTCTCCAGTCATGTCTAAGACTTCCCCTGTAATTACTTTTTGGATCACCTCACTTTTGTAGGTTGAATTTACTTAAAGTGAGGTGTACCCACACACAAATTGTTTGCATGCTATATACGTAGTACTCTGTAATTTCTACTTCTCCCATAAATGTGACTTGTGAGTAGTAGTGGTGACTTTTTTCTGTGATGCTGGGGATCAACTAGGGCCTCATGCCAAGAAACTGTTCTGTCACTAGGGCCTCACACATGCCAAGCAAGTGTTCTGCCACTGAGCTCCCACTCCAGCGCTGCAGCATTGGTACACTTTTAGTGGGTCTGTTTCAGTATGTGTGGCCTCCCATTTTTCCTAACTTCTGTGTTACACTAGACTTCCCAGACTGAGTTTGGGTAATTCAAATTCCAAGAGTAAGTAACTAGTTAGGCCTGAGGTACTCTATTTTATGGGAGTACATTTTTTTTCATCTTCCATGAAGTAGAAAAATATCTTTGATAAATAACTATTCTAAATGATATTCCTTCCTTGTATAAAGTCTCTGTTTCCTGGTTCCTTAAATGATTAGATCCAGAATATAGAAAATTTTTGGAGAGTTATGCTACAGACAATGAGAAAATGACATCTACTCCAGAGACACTACTAGAGGAAATAGAAGCCAAAAATAGAGAATTAATAGGTAAGTGGGAAAGGATTTAGGATAATGGCTGTTTCAGCAGAATGCCTAAGTCTGCCTCCCTCTGCCCTCACTTGCTACCTGTGTGACCTGGAAGTCACTCCCTTCTCTGAGATTGCTTCTACTTGAAAAATGCATACAGTAATACCTGCCATACAGGATGAGGAGAATGCATCCATAAGTAAGTTCCTGACAGCTTCCTTAGTATCACACAACTGGAATCTAAATATGCAAAGCTTAAAGATTGTTAAGACATGGCCGGCCAGTGGTAAACCTTTCAAAAACAGTTGGTATTTCCTAGCAATAAGTTCTTATTCCTAAAAAAATGAACTGACAATATTAAAAAATGAAGTTCATGGGGCTGGACATATGGCACAGCAGTTAAGAGTACTGGCAGCTCTTGCAGAGTACCTGGGTTCGGTTCCCGGCACCCACATGGCAGCTAACAACCATCTGTGACTCCAGTTCCAGGGGATCTGACACCCTCTTCTTGTCTCCACAGGCATTGCATGCATGGTTGCACTTATACATGTAGACAAAACACTCATACACACAAAATAAATATTTTTTTTTGGTCTTTTTGAGACAGGGTCTCCCTGCAGCCCCAGCTGTCCTGGAACTCACTATGTAGACCAGACTGGCCTTGAACTCGCAGAGATCCACCTGCCTCTGCCTCCCAAGTGCTGGGATTAAAGTTGTGTGCCACCACGCCCGGCTTCAAAATAAATATTTTAAAAAATGAAGTTCAGGGCTAGAGAGATGGCTCAGCGGTTAAGAACACTGACTGTTCTTGCAGAAAACCCAGGTTCAAATCCCAGCACTCACATGGTGGCTAACAACTATCTGTAACTCCAGTTCAAGGGGATCTGACAATCTCATCTGTCCTCTGCAGGCATTGCACGACACAGGTGCACTTACCTACATGTAGGCAATACATGCATACACATAAAAATCATAAAAAAATGAAGTTCATATCTTTAAAATTGAAAGTCTGAGAAACTTTAGCTTGGATGTTGGTTCTTTTTTTTCTTTTTTTATCTTTTTGAGTCAGGGTCTCCCTGTAGCCCCAGCTGACCTGGAACTCACTATGTAGACCAGGCTGGCCTCAAACTTACAAAGATCTGCCTGCCTCTGCCTCCCAAATGCTGGGATTAAAGCCATGTACCACCACGCCTGGCTTGGATGTTGGTTCTAAGTAATATAAGTAGGGACTCAGTATTTGCCCCAGGATTTCCACTTCTAGAATTTATCCTAAAGAAATATGTAGCCAAGTGTGGTGGTGCATGTCTTTAATGTCAGCATTCCAGAGACAGAAGCAGTCACATCTCTGTGAGATCAAAGCCAGCCTGGTCTCCACAGTGAGTCCAGGGCAGCTGGGGCTACAGGTAGAAAGTGTCTCAAGAGAAAAAAAAATATGTGTTTAGAAAAATTGTGTCAAGGCCAATAGCATTGTTCAGAATGTTGAAAAATGAACTTAAATATTCTTCTAAAATTTTATTTCTTTTTAAAAAGATTTATTAATTTTATTTATGTGTACGTGCATGCCTGCAAGAGTTTATGTGCACCACATTTGTGCAAGTACCTGCAGAGGCCAGAAGAGGGCATTGGATTCCCTGGAACTGGAGTTACAGGCAGTTTTTAGCTTCCTGATATGGGTACTAGGAACTGAACCTGGGTCCTCTAAAAGAGCAGCAAGTGCTCTTAATCAGTGAGCCATCTCTCCACCCCCTAAAGCTTAGGTTCTATTAATGAATATTCAGGATAAATTCGTATCTGGTAATTTCTCTTGGAATAAATTCTCGGAAGTGGGAATAGGGAATCTGAATGATTGGGTATTTGTAGCACATCCCCTCAGTCTCTTTCCAGTTGACGAGGCTTGTGCTCCTGTGTAGTCAGAATATCCTTTATACTTAATTCTCATCAACTGGAAATAACTCCTAAAAACTGTTTCATTATTTCAATGGGAGTTTGTTTGTTTTCTTTCTTTCTCTTTCCTTCCAACTAGTCACAAATTTACTCATTCACTTAGGTTTTTTTTTTGGGTCTTTTTAAGACAGGGTCTCCTGGTAGGTCCAGCTGGCCTGGGATTTCCCAGCACTCAGGAGGCAGAGGCAGGTGGATTTCTATGAGTTCAAGGCCCGCCTGGTCTACATAGTGAGTTCCAGGCCAGCTGGACCTACTGGAAGACCCTGTCTCAAAAAGACCAAAAAAAATGTATCTTCATTGTTGAGCTGGAATACTGTAACACTCATTTTTGTTGATACAGTTGTGAACTTTGTCAGGGGTATAATTTCCCCAACTTGGATTGGTAGCAGGGAATGACAGAAAGTGGATTCTTTTTCAGGGGTTAATAAGTGTTATTAATAATCTGCTTATGTTTATATAGCTAAAAGGACAACCCCACTTTTGAGCTTCCTGAAAAACAAGCAGGTAAGTGTTTTGTTTTGTTTTGTTTTGTTTTGTTTTGTTTTGTTTTGCTTCTCTCACTAATTTTATTGTTTCACATTCTGTAAACATTCTAAGAGCATTGGGATCCTGTAGGAGTAGCATTTTTCCAACAATTCTTTAAAGATCTGGCTCCTTGGTCTCATTCTTTGGCCCTCTTTGCCATGCTGATTATGGGACTAGGGGTTCACTGTGCAAACCTGGAGAGGCCTTTGCTGTCTCTGAGACATTGTGATCCCCCGAAAACTTCAGGGGATATAGAAAGGCAACAGCAGGGCTGGGTTTAGCATGTCCTGGTCTTCGTTCTCTATGAAATGGATGCTAAGGAAGTTGCAGAAAAGTAGGAAAGGAGTCAGCTTAGTGGGTGCCCACAGTGCCTTTGGGATTGGTTAGGTTTGGAGTGATTTTTTTTTTCATTGGAAGGATCGTGTTGGCATTTCTTTCTAGAGATTGAGAGACGAAAAGAGGGAAGAAAGAAGGAGGCGAGAAATAGAAAGGAAAAGACAGAGAGAAGAAGAGAGAAGAAAATGGAAAGAAGAAGAAAAACGAAAAAGGAAAGATTTAGAAAAACTAAAGAAGATAGAGAAAGTTCCGGAAAGGGAAAAAGTAAAAGATGAACCGAAGATTAAGGTATGAGCCTAACAGAATCTGACTGCATGGTGCTGCAAACTGCATGTATCTATTTCTGCATGTATCATGTGTTGTTGTAACTAAGTTTTGTTTTGATTTGCCCTTTTGGGTTAGTTATACAAAGAAAAATAATTCTTGTCTTACTAACACAGTTTTTAAAACTTAACTGAAAAGGATTAAATAGTTTACATGTGCTGTCAGTTTTCAGAGCAGATCTGTCTTTTGTGTAAATCATTGATCATGTTTCTAATTTGATTACTAGTCTCTCAGTTCCTAGTAAATGAGGGCTTAGGGCTGGCTCGCATGAATTTGGGGTTTTATTCAGCTTTTCCTTCATAAATGATACATGAAGTTGCCTCATCTGTTTGTTTTCCACTGTCTTCAGGTACACAGGTTTCTGTTACAAGCTGTGAATCAGAAAAATGTAAGGACCCAGTACATGGTACAGAGCACCTAGTATCATGTCACACACACACAGGTCTTAGCAAATAAGTTCTTTTGGTGGTGGTGGTAGTGTTACCTGTTGAAACCCTTTCAGATGGACTTGGGCCTTCTTCCCTCTTTAAAAGGAAGCCCAACATCAGGCATGGTGGCTCATTCCTATAATCACAGCACTCAGGAGGATGAGACAGGAGAGTTGTTACGAGTTTGAAAAGCCTCATTTAGAGTGTGAGACCCTGTCTCAAAAAAATAAATAAATAAAATAAAGGAAGCCCGAGTGATACCTTGTGCTCTGCTGTGCACCCAGAAGCCTCAATGACATAGTGCCATAGGAAAGTCAGGCTGGAGCTCCTTCTGTGCCTCTCGTACCTGGCTGCCAGAGGGGAAGACTAGCAATACATATGTGTAGTATGCTAGTCATAGGCTTTTCCGTCTCATGTGATTCCCACCTTAACTTCTTGCATCTAGCTGGGCATCTCTTAACAGCAGGTTCTTACCAGTGCATTGCATGTATAGAGAGGAAACCTGAAGAGAGATCCCAACTTTGCTTTTCCCTCTGAAGGATGTGGCTTGGGCAGCTCTTGCTCCAGTGAACTTCCCAGGGAAATATTAGTCCCTAGTACTTTGGAAAGTTAGAGACCATCTCACAGAGATGATGGTATAATCTCTTTTACTGCCTGGAAACTCCACAGTTTATGTGGCTAGGGTTCCCTCAGTCTCGTTTATGTGGCTAGGGTTCCCTCAGTCTCCTTGAGGCTCATTACTGGTGATACAGGGTTGTTAAAGGGAAAGGGACACCTCCTACCTCTGTTCCTTTCAGCAGACTCTCTGTCCACTATGTCACAAGCAATTTGACTTGCTAGTCCTAACAGTTAGCAAGAGAGAAGATAGAGCCAGCCATGCTAGAGACATTCACTAATGTTCTTATTAGAGGAATGAACATCTTGGCATCTAGGACAGGTAGATGTTCGTTAAAGAAATAAGAACACTGCCAACGAAACCTGCACATCTTCTCACTTCACTTTGGGGCCTTCTTTGTGTCCAGCTTGATTCTCATTTGTAGTGGCTGTCTGTGTGCTGAAGTATTTCATATTTCATGCTTAAGTCTTGTGGTGCTTTGCCTTTTGCTTGGTGGCTTGCATGATGCCTTCACCCTGAGATGAACTTCATATGATACATTTACTATGAAACTTAAACATCTTCTATTTTGTTTAAGAATCTCTCTGCTTATCCAACACTTAGTAGAGTTATTCATGAGAGATTTATAGTACCAATGTGAGAAAGAATGGCATTTGGAAATCTATATATGTGGTATTGAGTAGATTTTCTACTCAGTAGAGATGGAACTTCACCATTCTGTTGTATAAGGCTTTTGGATTTGTTAAATCAAATGCCGGATAATTCTTGCTACTCGTCTCTCAACATACCGTGATTATACCATCATAGATAAGTTATTCTCAGGCTCAAGGCAGACTTATGCTTGCAATGGATCTCTCCTTTGGTGACCAAGGCATTTGCCATTCCAAGTACATACACATGAAAACAAGCAAAAAAATAACCAAGTGCATTCACATAAAAAATAGTCCAATAGTAATGATCTGCCCAGTGCTTTACACTTGGGATATTTTCTCACTGAGTTGTATTGACACACTGGTTTGATACAGAATCATACCTGGAACTATGCATTAACTTACTTAAAAGTTTTGACCTGTAGCCAGGTATGGTGGTAACACACGTTTAATCTCAGCAATCCAGGATGCAGAGGCAGTCATATCTCTGAGTTTGAGGCCAGCCTGGTCTACATAGCGAGTTCCAGGCCAGCCAGGGTTACATAGTGAGACCTTGTCTAAAACAAACAAACAAGCAAAAATCCCTTTAAAAAAGGTTGACCCACTTAAAGCCAAAGGAGTCTTGATCTCATTGCCATCTGGGAATGAAACCTAATCTGTGGGTGGATAACACTTTCACATTAGCATCTTTTTAGTAAATCACTACTCTATGCATTAGCTGTTCACCTGGAAGTTTGAGACTAACTGTGGGACCTTCTGTGGTCTAAATTTTAAATATTTAGTATGTTGGGTGGGTTTTTTGTGGCGGTTGTTGTTTTTGGTTTTGGTCACAGAATCAGAAGGCAGTGTCCCATTTCATCAAAATAAAAATAAACATTCTCTTTTTAAAGCTGCTGAAGAAACCAGAAAAAGGAGAAGAGAAAGAACTAGATAAAAGAGAAAAAGCCAAGAAACTGGACAAAGAAAATCTGAATGAAGAAAGAGCCAGTGGGCAAAGTTGTACTCTACCTAAGCGATCTGATGTTGAACTGAAGGATGAAAAGCCAAAGAGGTCAGTCAGTAGTTGAGAGCTGTCAGCGATGTTTGGTTGCCAAATACTAGTGGAGATGCCATGTCCTTGACTTGTACCTGAGTTAAGCTATTTGCTGGTTGTAGTGGCACACACCTGTAATAGCATTGGAGAGGTCGAGGCAGGAGGATTGCCAGCTTCAGGCCAGCTTGGACTACACAGTAAGACTTGCCTATTA